TACCTCAGTGGCTATGTTTGCTAAATTATAGTATGGATCAAGTTCTGGTGAGCACTTCACTGGCACATGTCTACAGCTGGAAGGGCTCCCCAAGTTGCTAGAACACAGAGGTCTACCAGAGACCTGGTATGTGCTCAGCCTTAGGCAGGCAGGCACCCTATGGTCACAACCATTAATAATTTCATTCAAGTGCACAGACAGACAGAGGAACAGTGCACTGTGTTGAGAGAGGCATGTGGGAAACTGACTTAATGGTTGAAGGAGCTAATTATGCTGTCTGTACTGTATTGCCTCTGGGATGTGAGCATCTGGCTGCCTTGATGAACAGGATGGTGGCTGCCAAGTCCAGGACACTTGGTGTCTGCTGGGTACATAGACAGACCTGCACTCCATCACACCAACCATTGGTGCTCTGCACTGACATAAGAACTTGCATTTCTGGTAATGCTGTTCTAATTCTGGGCATCTCTGTCAGTCACTATTTATCAGTTTGTCTTGATGTACGTGTAAGCATATTGAACAGATGTAAAGATGCCTGTAGTTGCATAATATTGTGTGCGTAGTGAGATGAAGAAGTAGCTTCTCCTTGCTACAGGCTGCTATTAACTGTGAGAGAAATTACAGATACAGAGTTTACATGTAGAGGGAGAAGTCTACTGCTGTGATTGGAGGAAAGAGATGGAAAGAACAACAACAATGGGTTTCTGGAATAATTAGGTAATCTAATTAAGGGTCAAAAAGTTACAAATGAGAGTGTTACCTTAGCAGCTTTGATCGAGTTATTGAATTGATTCCAGCATTGGTGCCAGAGCCTCAGTAGGATGTTCTTGGCCTTAAGGTCCTCAGGGAGTTTGCATCCATCAACAAGGAGGAGGACCTCCTTCCTCCTACTTAGATGTAACTCCAGTGAGTTCAAGACAAGAAATGGGGTGTTCTCGCAACACAGAGAAAACAATATTAACCACAAGGTCGTCAAACTATGAGTTAGAGGCAAGCAGGCAGATAGGAAATGAGCAGCTACCACACAGTGCAAGAGAAATGGGCAGGTAGTGCAGGAGTCCTCAGAGGTTCCATTCACTTAACTGATTTTCCATTCTGGATGCTGGAGTGGGCAGTAAAACCTTGGATGAGTACATCAAGAGCCAAGCCCTTGGCCAACTGCAAAGGAGGCAAAAAAGAATAGTGGAAGGATGGTACCTGTAGGGGATTCTTTAGATAGGGAAAAAGACAAGAGTTTCTGAAGCCATCTTGCTTCTGAAGGCATATTGCTTTTCTGATGCAATTGTCAAGTATGTCAAAGAACAATTGCAGGACATATTTCTGGGGAGGAAGAACAGCCAGACACAGCCTACGTTTGTAGTAACAACGTAGGTAGAAATGAGAATATGGTTCTGTAATCAGAAACTAAGAAGCTAGGGAGAGAATTAACAAGCAGGATCTCAAAATTATTAACCTGTGGATTACTCCCAGTGCCACGTGCATGTGAAGAGGATAGGCAGAGGATTGTGTGGGGGAATAATGGAGTGTGAGGGAAGACGTTAGATTCTTGTGAGACCATGACTGGCATTGGGGTAGGTAGCACCTGTACAATGCAGATGGATTGCAACTGAACAGAGCCAGGACTGAATTCCGTGTGGGTGTTTTGCTAGTGTTGTTGGTTTTAAACTAACTCTAAAGGGATGTAGGAAAAAAGAATATTAGAGGGGTGCACAAAATACTTGCACTGGGAAGGAGGGAGGAAGCACCGGTGGAAGTAAAAGCTTGGTGGACTAGTGGTGGGTACAAAAAGGGGGTCCTAGCACCATTCCTCATCCCATCCAAGACCCAAACAGTATAAGCTTCAGTGCATTTTCCCTGACCATGAACTCCTTCTACCAGCATCAAAATTGAGGCTGGATGAGAATTGGCCATAAACTAGCTATTTAAGGACATTAACTGAGACAAGGGGAGATAGATTGCCTCAGGGAGGGGTATTTGTGCAGTGGTGGTGTCCTTAACTTTGGGCCAAGAGACCAAGGTTCAAGTCCAACCTGTTCCAGAAGTGTGTAATAATATCTCTGAACAGGTTGCTTAGAAAATATATAGACCACCACCATGCAATATTGTAGACAGGTCAAGGGCAGACGAGAGGGTAGCAGAAAGCTACCTAGGGAATTTTACATGACATTACCACCAACAACCAACTCACCATAACCACCACCTGGCAGACTGTTCATCAGCCAGTGTAAAATTATTTCCTTCATGGGAATTAGGATTCAGGTCATCGAGTTTTGAATGAATTCAAGCTTACTGAGATTGTAATATAGATGAACATCAAGATTATTCCCAGTATTAGTTTGGAATTGCTTGCATTTACATTGCGCTTATAAAATCTAAACACTGTGATGCAAGAAGGCAGAATAAATACAAAATGCATTGTAATAATTTGTAACTTTTTAGGCAAAAGTGTCATGGATTGTGAAACAAAACATTTTGGGGAATTTTTTTCCTCCTTTACTGTGACAACTAAAGAAAATAGGATATGACTTTCAATTAACTCAAGGTCTTTCAAATGACTTGCTGTGAACTTTGCTCTCACCAAGTAGCACGTATGAAGTGTCGACAGCTTTAACTTTCAAATATACAGCACAGGAGTTGGTTACTCCCAAAGGGCAAATGCACCAAGTAAAAGTCAAAGCTGTGAAGGACATTTAACATATGATTTTATTTCTTACAGTTGTTCCAGTTAATACTGACTTAGCAATGCCAACTCCACATGATAATTTAACTTAAAATAAACAAAAACCAAAAGTCTGCAGATGCGGGAAATCAGAAACAAAAACAGAAATGGCTGGAAAATTCAGCAAGTCTAGCAGCATCCAGTGACCCTCCTTCAGATCAGAAGAAGGATCTGAAGAAGCTTCTGAAGAAGGGTCACTGGACCTGGAACATTAACTCTGCTTTCTCTCTATAGAGGCTTCCAGACCTGTTTAATTGTTTGTACATTGATTATTTGTACATTTTCATAGATACAACGTGGTGCACAGTGCTTGTGCAGTTAGTAAGAAGTTAATCTATAGTTGGAACATATGGTCTACAGTCTTAGGACATGCCAAAATGCATGAAAAAACCCTCAATGTTTTTTTGTTGTTCTGATGCTGGCAGACCTGCTGAGTTTCCCCAACCATATATGTTTTTGTTTACAATAAGCAAAACCACTTGTCTCAACATAGGTAATGGATTTGGTCATATAATTGCTAATGATATAATAATCAATAACTCTTCAGGGATTCATTGTTAGTATATTTTCATAGATATGACATGGTGCACAGTGCTTGAGCAGTTAGCAAGCAAGTTAATCTAAAGGTGGAATATATGGTCTACAGTCTGAGGACATGCCAAAGTGTGTGAAACAACCCTCAATGGTTTTTTGTTGTTCTGATGCTGCCATACCTGATGAGTTTCTCCAGCATTTTCTGTTTTTGTTTATTTTAGGTCTCCACTATCAGCAGTTCTTTGTTTCATACTACTGTAGGATAGTCACTGATACGGTATAAATGATTATCATTAAAAAGAGAAGTGGTACAGCATAAGAGAACTTTATTTGATGAGGGCTGTTAGAAGATGGAATGACATACCAGAACAAATTGTACAAACAGGATTTGTAATAGTTTGTAAAAGGAAAATGGATTAATATTTGAAAAAAGTAATTTGAAGTGGACTGGGAAAGGGTAGGGGATGAAATTGTCAATAGTCGAAGGAGACCCGACACCAATGTGAAGGGCCATATGCCTCCTTCTGTAATGTGCAATTCTAAAATTCTGGTGCTAAACATTTATGTAAATCTTACCAGAACGGTAATGTGCTAAGAGTATTCATTATCCTGTGATAACAAGGTGTAGAGCTGGATGAACACAGCAGGCCAAGCAGCATCATAGGAGCAGGAAGGCTGACGTTTCGGGCCTAGACCCTTCATCAGTAATGGGGGAGGGGAAGGGGGTTCTGAAATAAATAGGGAGAGAGGGGGAGGCGGTTAGACGATGGATAGAGGAGAAGATAGGTGGAGAGGAAACAGACAGGTCAAAGAGGCGGGGATGGAGCCAGTAAAGGTGAGTGTAGGTGGGGAGGTAGGGAGGAGATAGGTCAGTCCAGGGAGGACGGATAGGTCAAGGGGGTGGGATGAGGTTAGTAGGTAGGAAATGGGGGTGCAGCTTGAGGTAGGAGGAGGGGATAGGTGGGAGGAAGAACAGGTTAGGGAGGCGGGGACGAGCTGGGCTGGTTTTGGGATGTGGTAGGGGGAGGGGAGATTTTGAGCCTGAGATCTGCTTGTTTGCATATTCATTCAGAATTCAAGGTTCAATTTTGATGAGGATAGTGATAAGAGTGTAAATAGCATCAAGGCAAAATGTGGACCATTAAAGGAGGTGCTAAATGAAGGATGGAACAAAAATTTGTACAGCCTTAGAAGGATTTGGACTTGATTTCATCTGGTTGGCAGGCTTTTACAAAACTGAGTTTTGATGTGTCAGGGCATGGGCAATGGTCAATGGTCAATGGATGGACGCGTGGGAGATGGTGAAGAAATTGACAGCTAAAAGTGAGAACCACATTGTTAGACATTAAGTTGTAGGCAAGTAGCAGCAGTATGACTACCCAGTTACCTTGCCCCTCTTTGTTTAATGGTAGCTGAGGCTGTAAAGGATGGGCCGAAGGACTGAATGTTAATAGTGATATTCAACAGCTGCATGAGAAAATAGATTGTATAGGATGGGAAAATAGGCTGGGAAAGTTAATGATGATACTCAACAAGCTGCATGACCTTGAACAAGTCCTGTGAACATTCCTTTATGGGCTGAAGATGACACCTGTAGCTTGTTTTTCTCTAGCTGTGTTTACTGTACCAGCCAGCAGTTTTGTCTTCTGTATCTGCTATTCTCTGTGCTGGCTATTTGTTACACTGTATAAGAGAGAGAGAGTTTCGTTCCAAGTTGCTGGCCTTCACCTCAGACCAGGATCGTGAATGGTGCCAGGAACAACCTCAGCTTCCAGGCCAGCCGTCGATTGAGGGGTCTCCGATGGGCAGAAGGGCATAACGCTTATTGTTTCTTTCCTCTCTTTTTCATTCTTTTTATTTATTTAATAGATGTTCCTTTTTTTTTGTCTTTTATTATTACTCAATAAATGTTCATATTTAAGCTAGTTGCTGTTGATGACCCCTCTCTTAACTACGTTTAACCGAATCCGAAAATAACTGCTTGGATACACTCTGATCCAAGACATTTTTGGTGACAAGGATGCAATTCAGGAAAACATGTAAGAGAAGGGATAAGCAACCAGTGCTCTGGAGACCTTCCGTATTCAAGGGTGGAATATGGCAGACTCTGGATTTAGATCTGTAGCTAACATGTTAGCACAATTAGGACCACCGAAAGGATGGGGGATGGTTATAATGGGAAAAAGCAAGAATTGGAGGCCAGGTTTCTGTGCTGTGCAAGTACACTGAACCGTGTAAAAGTGTTAACTCTTTGTGGTCTGTTTTGAATGCACCTTTGTTTGTTGGTTGCTAAATGTTGTCTTGTATAATTTGTGTCTTTTTGTTCCCTGGAACTCCAGATCTGGGGATACTTTGAAGTTTTAGTTTGCATTTTAGGAATGTATGGTGATTTGAAAGTGTGTTATCTGCCTGTATCAGCGTGGGGCATGTATGTGGGTGAGGTGTTTAGGAAAGGCAAATTTAACAAAGGGCTGGGCTTTTCCTTCATTCAAGGAGGAGGAGAGGCAGATGATGTAATTATGCGCAGGAGTTTACGCCTCACCCCCTTTTTGAATCATTTTGTAGATTAATACTAATTAACCCATTCAGCTTGACGTGGAGCTTGTCTGTTTTTTTTTAGAAATTGAAGACACTGATGGCTGAACCCGTTTGCAGAATTTCAGCTTCACAATACAGTGATGGATGAGGCACCATTAATCCATCAAGCCATTTTTCAATAACACGTTTCAGTGTTGGAGAAGTACTGTGAAAATATTAATTGTAGTGAATGTCAGGAATCTCAAAACCACTGAGTCTCGGTACACTTAAACGTATCATGACAAAAACTATATTAAAACTCACTTGCCCTGGTATTGTAAAATATTTAAATGGAATAGTTACCCGAAAATTAAAAGGGATTCTGGGAAATGATAAAGTGCATGCATGCAGTCTTAATGGTTTTAATACTTGAAAATGGTGAGTAACTTTAAGGGAATAAACAGAATATTGAATATGGTCAAATTTACATAGATATATATCAAATATCTAGAATGAGTCATGAAGTTAGTTTTTAAAAAAAATGGATTGTCTTGGAGCAAGAACAAACAAAGTATGTTGTGCCTGAATCAAACACAAATGTTTGACTTCTTTTTTAAAATATTATACAATTATGTTCCATGTACTACAAATCTCTACAGACCTCTGGAATTTGATATGGTGGTAATAGTTGAATTGCAAAATTAGATGAGACAAAGTAATTAACTGGTGGCAGAAGATAAAAAAAATTAGAATAATGTGTTGAAGCTGCAATTCAGGTTAAAATGTTACAGTAGTGAAAAGGAGGTTTAGATGAAAGCACAAAACTGAGTTTTCTCTTGGTGATGTTTGTGTCCTTGTCTTTCCTTTTAAGAGAACTGATTTGGTGATCAAGCCGCTACCCGAGGCATTGGGGCCATTCATGGAGAGATAAGTAAAACCTCACAGATCATTTGATAAGATCATGTGGGAGTCAAGAATGTGTGACATGGCCTTGGGCTGCACTGAGTATGTTACCAAGCACGGTAACGAAACGTCTGCGGAACAACAAACCAGCTCGGCGAGCCAACCAACCTCAATGGCCTTGGGATACTAATGTAAGTCTGCAAAAGTGAATGTTACTTTGGGGGTAACAAACTTGAGATGGAAAAAAACATGCACTGAAGAACAGGTCTCAGACTTGTACACATACTTGATGAAAGGATTAGTGTGGCTTGGAAGAGCACAAAAACATAATTTAAATGACACTGACATAAAATCCATAGAGACATTAAAACAATGAAAGTAGCATCTGTGAAAAGGATGTAAAAAGAATTGCAATCAAAAAAAAGTGTGATTGGTTATTATGTCAAAATGTTACAGAAATGAAAGAATATGAACTCTGGGAGGAGTAATGGTGGGCTGAGTGAAAGGGCCCATCAGATGATATACAGATACCCCATCTTGACCATTTGTTTGATGCATGTACTTTAGTGTTTAAACCAGTAGGTGAAATTATAATGTGTTAGGACAGTTAGTGTATGTGAAAGAAGGCTGAGCTAAGACTTGGGTGGTCTAGGAGTCTATGGTAAGGGAAGCCCAGGGAAAAATAAACGGCAGGAACATAAGTTGAAGGTAAAGCTTGATGAACGTTAGAACAGTATTGTTTGATCCCATGTATATTGTAGCTCAAAAGGGGGTACTTGCAAATGGAGGTAGTTACCACTCAATGGTACAATCATTCATAAAACTTGCAAGGGAGGAAACATATTGAAGAAGTATCCTCAAGACGGATACAGATGAAGAGAGCTGGAGAAATTTTGAGTCCATGTATGATGTTATTTTACTGTAGTTGTGTTTTACTGTACTAGCCGGAAGTTTTATCTTCTGTATCTGCTGTTCTCTTTGCTGGCTGTTTGTTACATTGTATAGGAGAGAGAGTTTCGTTCCAAGACTTCATGTCGGACTGGGATTGCGAATGGTGCCAGAAACAACCTCAGCCTCCAGACCAGCCGTTGTTCGAGGAGTCCCTAACGAGAGAACGGCGTGAGGCTGATTGATTTTTGCCTCTCTTTTTCATTCTTTTTATATACTTAATAAATGTTCCTTTCTTTTCTCGTCTTTTATTATTACTCAATAAATGTTCATATTTAAGCAAATTGATATTGACGAGTCTTCTCTTAACTACATCTAATCGAATCCGAAAAGACCGCTTGGATGCACTCCGTGATCCAGTTGTGAGGAAGATTGGCCACTTCATGTCATCAGCCCTATGAGCTGATTGACAATAGAGTTTACAGGTTATTGCCATTAAATGTCACAGACTGATGTGGCATATTAGCAACTGCTGTTCTTATAACAAATGACCATTCTCTGCATCAGGCTCCCTGAATACTCTGACTAGATAGTACAGATGATGACTACAGCCAGTATCAGGTACACCTAGCAATGTTTTTTCATGTAGTTATTGATATTTTGACAGTTATTGGCCATCAGGCAATGTTGACAATTGATTATACTGATGCATCTTCACACAATATGACTGAAAGAACAGTGTACTATAATTGAGAAGCTTCTATCATTAGGCTTAGATAGCATAGTCCTATCTTAATTGTGATATCTGTTCGTCTGCTGCATACAATACTTTTTTTGAAAAATTCAGGAACGCGTACATTTATCTTTTGAGAGGTTAAGTAGAGAACAAAATATTTAAGAACACAAAAGAGGTCAAAATATTTTTTCTAAAGCAGTTTGTTCTTTGACACTTCAATGGGAAAGCCTGAATCTCTGACTGCACACATTATATCAATGTGATGATAATGTGTTTAGTCATGTTTTAAACTGTGCAAAATCACATTGACATCTAACTGATATGCTCAGTTCCCAAAAGCTCCAATATTTTCAGATGGCAATGTTCAGCATCTATTCCAAGCTCCAACAGAAATTTGAATCGCTCACAAAATAGGCAGAGATTTGTCAGGGTAAACCTTCCAAATTTCAATAACTGTCCAGCTTCTGTTAATGGATATCCAAATTCCCATTCTATCAACATCAATGGTTTCTTCAAAGTTCTTTGTTTACTTTATTTGAAGCTGGAATCTTTACAGAACAAATATGCTGAATTCAATGGTGCATGTTACAGGTTCACCATATCACTTGTATAGGCTCCCAAATCTACACTTCACTCATTCACTAGGCATCTGACCACTTAACACTAATTGCTTCCTTTAGCAGAGATTCTGTTTATGATTGCTTTCTCGAGTAGACACTTGATAGCTAAAAATAGCTGATATCTGTTCAACAAGATGGAAACTTCAGTTGTTGCTCATTTCCTCCAGGCTCAGGATAACTGCGATTCTTATGAAAAGGAGATAAAACAAATCATAAGGATTCATACCAAGCTCTGACAAGCTTACACTACTGCCACATTGCTTTTAATTTCTTTACAAAACTTCTGTAAACACATCATTGTGTTGATATAATATTTATGAAGACTTGTTAGAAATTGAGTCATGAGAAAATGGAGGCTAGAAGCAGATTGATAGCTGGTCTCTGGCGACAGCAGAAGCTAAATAAAGATTGTAGGCCCTGTAGATAAGACTGGGGGAGATGTGCAGCAGGGTGAATGGTGACACAGAAACACTGAATCTGACAGACAGGTAGAAAGATAGTAAGAAAGGTGCAGGGACTGATCTGTGAAAATGATATTAGCCTGAAGATGAAGGGAAGAGGAAGTGAGAATAAAGGTCTGATAAAAAGGTACAAATGGACAGAGATCAGAATCTGATTAAAATAATAATTAAAATTAAGTCAGTGAAGTTATTAACATAAACAAATGAAATTGGCTGTACAGTAATGAAAACAGTGTTCCAAACAAATTGGATGAACTGGAGTCAATAAACCATGGTAAGGAGCCAAGTGTAAGAGGAATAACTGAAATGTAGTTACAATAAGATCATGACGCGTACCTACCTATTGTAAGATATAACATATTGAAAAGATGAGGAAGTGTGGGATGGGAAACATTATCAGTACTGATTACAGAAAATGGCTTATATTTTACAAAGGCCAGACAGTCTTTATTCCAGTGTAGATGGAAATTTTGCATGGGAGGCCCTACGGAATTCCTTTTGTAACAGACTCTGAAGGATATACCCAGGAAATTAAAGATTCCATTGAGAAATTCCTTTGCACCTAGAGAAACTATCTATTTAAATCAAAGAATTCAGAGGATTCTGCTGATATTAAGTAAATAGTTATATGGTTACATGCGTCGGCTGACTCCTGAGTGAGAAGTCAATTCACTCTATATTTACCTCACATGCCCCAAAATACACCTGTCCTTTTCACTTAGCATCCCAGACTGTGACTTGACTTTCCTACTCCCCCTTCCCGGGCCCAGGACCTGACTTCATTCCCCTGTGACTTCCCCCATCAACATTCTTATATTTATTTGTGGGATTTGCGCATTGCTGGTTGGCCAGCACTTCTTGCCTGGCCCTAGTTGCCCTTAAGAAGGTGGTGGTGAGCTGCCTTTTTTAACTGCTGCAGTCCACGTGCTGTAGGTTGACACACAATGCCCTTGGGGAGGGAATTCCAAGATTTTGATCCAATGGCAGTGAAGGAAAGGCAATATATTTTCAAGTCAGGATGGTGAGTGACTTGGAGGGGAACTCACAGATGGTAGTGGTCCCATGTTTCTGCTGCCCTTCTCCTTCTGGACCGAAGTAGTCGTGGGCTTGGTAAGTGCTGTCAGAGGATCTTTAGTGAATTTCTACAGTGCATCATGTAGATAGTACACAATGCTGAGGTGGAGGGGCTGAATACTAGTGGATGTGTTGCCAATTAAGTGGGCTTCTTTGTCCTGGATAGTGTCAAGCTTCTTGAGTGTTGTTGAAGCTCCACCAATCCAGGCAGGTTGCAAGTATTCCATCACACTCCTGACTTTTGCGTTATAGATGGTGAACAGGCTTTCAGGAGTCAGGAGGCGAGTTACTTGCTGCAGTATTCCTAGCCTCTGACCTGCCCTTGTAGCCACTTTATTCATATGGTGAGTTTCCAGTCAATGACACTTCCAATGAATGTTGATGGGGGGGAAATTCAATGATAGTAACATCATTGAATGTCATGGGGTGGCATCTTTTATTGAAGATTGTCATTGCCTGGAATTTATGTGTGGCACAAATGTTACTTGTCACTTGTCAGCCCAAGCCCCATATTGTCCAAGTCTTGTTGCATTTGAACATGAACTGCTTCAGTATCTGAGGAGTCATGAGTGGTGCTGAACCTTGTGCAATCATTGGCAAATATCCCCACTTCTGACTTTATGAAGGAGGGAAGGTCATTGATGAAACAGCTGAAGGTAGTTTGGCTGAGGACACTACCCTGAGGAACTCCTGCAGAGATGCCCTGGAGCTGCGATGACTGACCTCCAACAACCACAACCATCTTCCTTTGCGCCAGACATGACGCCAGCCAGTGGAGAGTTTGCCCCTTGATTCCCATTGATTCCAGTTTTGCTCAGGCTCCTTGATGCTATACTTAGTCGAATGTAACCTTGTTGTCAAGGGTTGTCACTCTCACCCCACCTGTGGAATTCAGCTCTTTTGTCCATGTTTGAACCAAGGCTGTAATAAGGTAAAGAGATGAGTGGCCCTGGTGGACCGCAAACTGGGCATCACTGAGTAAGGTATTGCTAAGCAAGTGTTGTTTGACAAAACTGTTGATGACACTATCAGTCACTTTACTGATCATCGGGAGTAGATTGATGTGGCTACAATGGCTGGGTTGGATTTGTCCTGCTATTTTTTTGTACAGAACATACCTGGGCAATTTTTCAAATTGTTGGGTAGATGCCAGCGTTATAACTGTACTGAAAGAGCTTGGCTAAGATACGGAGCAGGTTTTGGAGCACACGTTTTCAGTACTATAGCTGGAATATTGCTAGGGCCTACAGCCTTCTCAGTATCCAATGCCTCCAACCTTTTCTTTGATATCACATGGAGCAAATTGAATTGGCTGAAGACTGACCTCTTCGATGCTGGGGACCACTGGAGGAGGCTGAGATGGATCATCCACTTGGCACACTTGGGCACTTCTGGCTGAAGATTATTATGAGTGCTTCAGCCTTATCTTTGGCACTGAAGTGCTGGGCTCTTCCATCACCGAGAATGGGGAAACTTGTGGAACTTGTCCCTCCAGTGAGTTGTTTAATCATTCACCACCATTCATGACTGGATGTGGCAAGGCTGCAGAGCTTAGATCTGGTCCATTGGTTGGAGGATTGTTTAGTTCTATTGATCACTTATTGTTTATGCTGCTTGACATGCAAGTAGACCTGTTTGGTAGCTTCACCAAGTTGATGCCTCATTTTCAGGTGTGCTTGGTGCTGCTCCTGGCATGCCTTCCCACATTCTCCCTTGAACTGTGGTTGATCCCATGGCTTGATGGTAAAGGTTGAGTGGGGGATATGCCTGGTCATGAGGTTGTAGATTGTGCTAGACCACAGTTCCACTGCTGTTGATGGCCTACAGCATCTCATGGATGCCCGGTCTTGAGTGCTGGATGTGATTGAAATTTGTTCCACTTAGTATGGCGATAGTGCCACACAATATGATGAAGGGTATTCTCAGTGTGAAGGCAGGACTTTGTCTCCTCAAGAGCTGTGTGGTGGTCACACTTATCAATACTATCATGGACAGATACATCTGCCACAAGCTGATTGATGAGGCTGAGGTCAGCTATATTTTTCTCTCTTGTTGGTTCCTTCACCACCTGCCACAGATCCGCTCTAGCTACAATGTTCATTCGGACCTGACCAGTTTGATCAGTAATGTTGCTGCCTAGCTACTCTTGATGGTGGACATTGAAGGCCCCCACCCAGGTGGCACCGTCCTTACCCGGTACCCTAGCATCAAACTCACCACATTTACTCATGCTTTGAAGTGACTGTCCAGACCTATAAATATCAGGACACAGCAGCTGATCGCTGTGAAAAGGGGACATGGCCTGCTTTCCTCTGACAGTTCTGTGCTGTCAAAGAACTG